CGTTTTAGGTAGGCGTGGCTGACTCTTAACTTTTATAAAGAATATCTCTTTGGATTTGAGACTTTAGTCTTTGCAACTTCAGGGATCTTATCTATGCACAATCAGCTTGTAACACTCCAAAGAGAAAGGAAAACTTGAAATCACTTCATATGACCCCTTTAATATCCTACTGATTTTTGGCATAAAAGAAAAATCAATAATTTTGACCCATACAATGTATTGTTGGCTGTTGCTACAAATATATCTGTGCAACTTTTGACTGGTTTTGTGTTCCAAGGTCACATTCTGCTAATAAATATAAAGCTGAAAAAATTAAATTGCATGTATTTATTTTAGTATCCTGAGACATATAAGTTGACATCTGTCAGTTAGTAAAGAAAGATAAGTTGTCTTGTCTGAATCAGGAGAGAAATATGCACAGAACAAGCACTGTTTATAAGTGATAGCAGTCCAAAATCCAGTGGATTTTGATGTGAGAAGACAACAGGGGATGGACATCTTCACTGGAGGAAGCATTAGATAGAGGACTTGGAAGTAACAATTGTAATATTTTAATGATAAATTTGTTTAGAACATACACAAATCCGTTTACTTCATTAGACATTAATGTATGGACTGGAGTCATGTGCATAACTTGTGGATTATTGTGATGTTTTTAGCAGCTGTTTGGACTCTCATTCTGATGGCACCCATTCACTGCAGAGGATCCATTGGTGAGACAGTGATGTAATGCTAAATTTCTCCAAATCTGTTCTGATGAAGAAACAAACTCATCTAGCCTACATCTTGGATGACCTGAGGTTGACTAAATTTTAATTTTTTTTGTGAACTATTCCTTTAAACCATCTTGGGTAAAACTGGTATCCGAACAGCTGCATTTGTTAAAGAGGCTCCAGGTTGAAAAGCTCTTGTGTAACAGACTAATGAAATGTACGTGAACATGGCTGTACATGGACTGTATCAGTGGTGCATCTGTAAAATGTCTGATCTAATTCTATAAAAGTTCCACAGCCTGATTTATAACAGTGTTTGTCAAGTCGGTCAATGCAAGCCGGATGGCTCCTCTGCTACAAAGACACATTATTTAGAATTTATAATGAAGCATCTGTGACTTTTGGCTGGGTTTCTAGGACTGGGATGCAGATGCTTGCGAGATGCCCTGCGCTGCGTCTCATTTGCTTTTCACACTGCATGAGAGCAGCTTCTACCCAATTCTAACTTCAACCATTACAAATGCTAATGTGGGCATTTCCTCTCTCACATGACTGCAGCTGTGTACTGGCTTTCATAACCACACGATTATTTCACAATGTTCATAATGAAGTGACAGCTGAATGAAAACAGACATGCTGTCATGGGATGCCAAACTCGTCGTCACTTAAGATGTTTTAATTACACCAAAATATATCTGTCATCGTGATGTGTTTACCCATGATTTCTCCACACGAGATGATCTTTGGTGGTAGCAGACCACGTATCCCTCCAGTGAGACCACCTGTTGTAAGCAGACTGCATGTATAAATGAGGGTCATTCAGAGATTTATGAATGTCTCCACTCATGACTTGGCTGGAATCAGATATTTTCCTGATATTTTGTACAGCAGTCATATTAGTAAAACATATTTTCTGTTTCCCTAAAATTGCATTGGTGAAATATAGATAAAGACTTGATTGAGGACTGAGTTGTGTTTTAGGGTATTTTATATAGTTTTGGTCACTTTGTTCATAGAATGGCAGTCAATAAATTCAATTATAAAACTGATAGTTCCCCGATATATTAAAGCATGCCAAACACCTGCTCACTAAATCGCTTCACAGCACCAACATTTGATTATTTTTGTAGAAAAAAATAAAAATGTACGACAAAAAAAATAAAATAAAATGCATATTATTTTAATTTTGCTTAATTAATGTTTTAAACATCCTTAATAAATTCTTAATATTTTTATTAAAAGGTAAACATTAAATAAAATGATTTTACCCAGATCTATGTTATCATGAACTAAAATTAAAACTGAAATCATTATAAACATTTTCACTGCTTAAATATTTTAAAAATATATATTATTATTAATATTAAATATTAATACTAAACATTAATTAAAAAATTAAACATTACTTGATAAACATTAACTGAAATAAAATATAAAAAATATTTTATTAAGCTTATTTTATTTAACATTTCTCATTTTCATTGAAGTACTAAAATAACTAAAACTTTTAAAAAAACTATAGACATATTTTTTTAAAACTATAAAATTGTCAGAAACAAACTTACTAAAGCTTAAAAATTAAAATGAAATATATATATATATACATATGTGTGTGAGTGTGTGTATGTAATACTAAAATAACACTGATGCATATAATGAAGTAAATAAATAAATAATATGGATATATTTAAGAACTGATTATTAAACTGCAATAATGAAACAAAAAACAGAGTTGAATGATTCAAAACAAAATCTTTCACAGACAAATGTTTACAAATGTTTGTCATTTCTGGTCTTAATTACAGTGCTGGGAGTTTCCTCATTTGAGGATTGATCAAAAAAAGCTTGTGTGAATCGAACGTCCTTTTAAAGGGGTCATATGATGCTTTTTTAAAGATCATTATTTTGTGTATTTGGTGTAACAGAATATGTTGACATGCTTTAATGCTCAAAAAACACATTATTTTTCAAATACTGTACATAGAGAAAGGAAAACTTGAAAGCGCATCATATGACCCCTTTAAACAAACGCTCTGTTAAACTGCAGATGAAGGTGTATGTAATACTAAAATAACACTGATGCATATAATGAAGTAAATAAATAAATAATATGGATATATTTAAGAACTGATTATTAAACTGCAATAATGAAACAAAAAACAGAGTTGAATGATTCAAAACAAAATCTTTCACAGACAAATGTTTACAAATGTTTGTCATTTCTGGTCTTAATTACAGTGCTGGGAGTTTCCTCATTTGAGGATTGATCAAAAAAAGCTTGTGTGAATCGAACGTCCTTTTAAACAAACGCTCTGTTAAACTGCAGATGAAATGCACTTACAGCAAACTTGATACACTGAGAATATCAAATAAAACATTACTGCACAACATGCTGTTTTTACAAAATATTGTCTGATATATGATCTGACAAATGGTTTTTAGAGATCTCACAGACTGTCAAGGTGGACCACAAGCTTATTTTATGTCCATACTGAGTTCATCCAGTGCTGTCTAAAATGAACTGAGTGATGGTGAAAACTTTGTATTTAATGAAAAATGGCCCAGGTGTCCCGCGGGAACCTTTAGGAATAAATGATCTCACCGCTGTATCATTCATCACGTAAGGTTGGCTGGACCGCTGCTGTAAAATAAGGGTGATTCCTTGCGTTCTCAATCATGAAGACTTTTCTCTGTTGTATGTCACCCTGTAGAAGTCATCCAAGTAGGATTTGAAAAACACAGACGGAGAGAAGGAGAGAGAACTGTTTTAGGCATTAACCTTTTCTCCTTTAGGTTTCGCTCAGTAGCCTATCACAAATACTTCTGTAATAAAAGTGAATAAACACCATTAGTAAGCTGGACTCTTTCCTTTTCTCACGTAGGAACACAATGTCCTCCTCTCTGAAATGTTGTGACGCTATTGTCTTAATGCTGGCAGACACATCATTACTATGATAAATATGGCGAGAGATCATATCTGTTTCACATTTAAATTACATCCAAAACGACTAAATCCCTTTGGGAACTGCAAATGAATTAATTTTAGTTTAAAAGGAAGATTATATTTTACATGAGTTATGAGATTACCACTTCATTTTAGCCTACTTCTGAAACTGTTGCACAATATTATTTTATTTTTATATTAAGTTAGTTAAAGTGTAGCCTATTTTAATGTGAAATAGCGGTGAGCTGGCAATGGTGTTTATTTTTAAGTAAATTCGATGCTCACCAAATAAGTTAATTCACAATACTTCATCTTTAAGGTGATGAAAAATAAAAATACAATACAAATTTTCGCCATAATAGAAGAATAGATTTGGTGTAGCAGCAGAACTGATGAGTAAAGCCAAAGGTTCCTCCCGGACTGTGTTTTGTGGAGGACAGGAGGTCGAATAACAGGAAGAGGAGCAGCGGCTACTATGGCGGAGGTGCGTGAATAAAAACAAAATTTAATTACACTTTTCTTCATGTTCATTGACAAAGGTTGACGTCTGAAATAATGCGTTATAATAAAACGTTCGCCCTCCAACTATTTGATTGATACGTGTCCTTGTAATCCCGCTATTATTTGACACGTTAGCGTTTCTCCAGTGGTCGTCAAATATAAATATCGACGTCGGCGATTAACTTGCGTAAAAATTAGATCCTCACTTTTACTGACAATATACTCATACAAATTTCAAACCAGGTATCATATTTCAAACGAGCTTCATGTTGTCATTAGATTTCAGTTGTTTTATTTAAATGCAACTTACTGTATTTGTTGATGATGCTATAAGGGTTGTGTGTGTAGTTTCGGTGTATATAGGTATGATTTCCTGTGTTTTTAATAATCAACTTTGATAGTAATTAAAAAATGTTCTCGGTCATCAAATCATCATGATATTGGAATGATTTCTGAAGGATCATCATGTGATACTGAAGATGAGTGCTGAAAAACCAGCTCTGCCTTCACAAGATTAAATTACATTTGAAAATATATTCAAATAAAGAAGCAGTTATTTTAAATAGTAATAATATTTCATAATATTACAGTTTCTTAATATTAAAAAATATACATTTAATATTTATTTTGACATGGAAAACCTTAATTTAGTATAACCCGTTATTGGCTTTTAAATTTTAATATTTCATAGATTTTCTTGTAGGTGAGCAATGTCAACTTGTATGTCTGCATCACAGGAAAAAACACTTTCAGAGTTTAAAGGCGAGACACTGCAGGTGAACAGGGTAAAAAAATTAACTAATAGTTATTGCCTTACCTAGTTGATTGATTACATTGATAATTGCAAAAAATTTTTGTATTACAAGTTTTCTAAAATGTCAGGTTTAAATATGCAAATGAGGCATTTTCTAAGAAATATGCGCTAATTAAAATACATTTCTAGTAGTGGTCGACCGATGTGGGGTTTTTTTGACAGCCGATGCCAATATCTTGGAAAGCAGGGTGGCCGATATAATTTTATTTATTTTCATTTATATTTAAGACATTTTAAATCATTTGAAAATGGATTAAAAATAATTGCGTAAAATAAGCATACTTATACTTTAGAAGACCAAGCATTTTTCACAAATAAATATTTAATAAAAATCTAATTATAAAGGAAGTAAACACTGAAACCAACAGGGCACTCAGTATTCTGGGAAGTTTGTGTGAATTAGAAATCTTTTTTCTTTTTTCTTTTAAAGCCAAGGTAACACTCATTTTACATACAGCACACAATGAAAATGACATGAAT